TGGTCTAGTTTAAAAAAGATTCCACTGTCCGAAAATAAGATGACACTGGTAATAATTAACATGAATAGCTATTCATCTTTCAAAAACATTCGTTTTCAATCATTGAGGAGACATTTTGCCAAGCTTATCGTGTAGAGAACTTACCATATGTGGGTGTCTTGTGTACATCAGCAAATTTAAGACTTATTCAAAGATTGTGACACACACAGCCACTGTCTCATGCATATCAACAAATGAACAAATATATGTAATTTTTGCAGGATTTCAAATAAAGTACAGTGGCGTCTCGCTAAGTCATGGGTGTCGGGATCCAAGCAAAAACGGTGACTTATTGAGGGTGGCAACTTACCATACGGTGGCCAATTTTATTATTACATAAGACAGCACGTTGCATAACATAAGTTGTATATTGATTGACCATTCATTATTTCACTAATTTTCAAACAGTGTGTTTCTTTTTACTTATCTCAATATTATGAGTTGTATAAAATAATGGTATGCAAATTCAATAACCTGGGCAGTGATATGCAATTAAGATCTCATGGGAAGTGAACTATTGCGTTTGACAGCGATCCTATTTTGTACGTGTCAATTGAACGTATTTAGTCGCACAGAATTCAGTGAACACTTGAAAAGGTTTGATTGCATAACAGAAAAAATGGAGTTTATTGCTGGATTCAAAAACTCACAAATATCACGCTTTGCGAATAAAACGATCAAAAATCACAAATCAATAATTTCACTGACTCACAAATTTGCGTTTAAACAAATATAGGTTTTTTCTGCGTTTTAATGATCATCTTTCAACAAGATTCTCCCAAGATCTTGTTTGTACTCTTCTTATAAACACTTGATATTATTGTATATTTTGATTGTTTTTAAGGCAAGACAGGAACAAGCAGAAATAGAACAACAGGAATGGCTCCAATTACAGGCTGCTCAGGCAGCACAACAACAACAACAACAGACGGCAGGCTCTGTAGGCAACAATGCACTGGGAGATGATACTAACGACATTGATGAAGATAAAGATGGAGATGATGATTAGATATAACCGTTGACCCAATATTGCTGGTTTAACATAATAACTCCAAAGTTTTGCTCCCTCTGTAAAAATCAACCTCTGTATGAGGAATTTCCGTAATTTGTTGTCATGTCAAATTTTAACCAATCACAGAATTGTGCATTTCTTGGTTTTCTCCAAATATTGGACATCTTAGATTTTCGTTTGTGAACCTTTGTTTCAACACTAATTCAGGCTTCAACTAATGAGAACAAACATCTTTGAGGGATGCTATGCGTTGGTGGAAGAATTAAAACGTAACTCATCAATCATCATCTGGACCAAGACGTACACACAATAATTTTCTTTGGAAAGTTCTACCAGCAATATTTATTATTCAGTTATGGTTATGGTTCCAGTCAAAAAATATAATTTCATTGGATTGCTATTAAATATATATAAAAGTCAAATTTATATCATAGATGAAGGTTTTTTGAACACTCCATCGATTCTGTATCAGGCTTAGATCCGCCATGTTTTCTTTGGTATGAATTGACAATACAACTGTATTCTTAGACATGATAGGTCAAGATTATGAAGTGGTACTGCCATCAATTTCCGACATGTTCCAAATATTAACATATGCATTGTTAAAGTGAAATCAGTATGGAAGTCTCAGTTAAACTACGAAAAGCCAATAGCATTTTTGAACTGGAAAATTGAGTATTGAAAATAAATGAGTATTTAGCGGTTTTCATGATGATGATAATGTATTTCACCTACTCACACAATTAATCATGTTTCTTCTTAATTTGTATTTTCAAAGGGAGGGGGATGTATTAGTGTTTTGATGAAAATTTTGTTTGTTTAATAACAAGTAATTTACCATTTATTTCCCCCAACATTGTATTATCACATATTTTTTTACCCTGAAAATTCAACTGTATTTTTGTATTTTGAAAACTTGAACATTTTTTGAAATTAATTATTTAAAACTGAGTGCAAGTTTTCAAGTTCTTATGGTATGGACAATCAAATACAAATCAATTAATTATAAAAAAATTCATCAGTCCAATTATAAACAAATATTGAATGTAGTCAAAAAAAAACAAGTGCTATGTTTGTCCTCAATTGGGAGATGCATAGAGTAAAAACTGAATCACAAAAACAAAAGTATTTTTGCCTACAGACCCTAGAGGGCAATCTTACTACTGCTAAGATTGATTCAGCAGTGCAAGAGATCGAAAT